TGTTACTATCAATATTATCATAATTGTTAATATTATTTTTTGTGATGCGTGCTTCGCGAAATTGCCGAACACGGGGCGCCCTCTCGATCTGCTTGACTGAATCGTCATTGATATGCCGCAGTTTTGAGTTCATGACTAAAATTTACTACATTTTTTGTAGAAGTTTATCAAGCTAAGCAAGGCTTGACTTGGATAAGTGATGGATATATGTCTGACAATTCTCTCTGCACTGATTAAAGTATCGAAAAAGCCGCCAAAGAACTTGTTGCTTTGACTCGTTTACAACTTAAGACTGACATAACATTAAAGCAGCTTTCTATAGTCAACTCCGATCGCCAGCTCAAATGTTTGTGTTACAATAACAATTATTGATAATACCGAAAAATGCCGTATATTTTAAGGAGAGATAGAGTTTTTTTTGTAGCTGATCATGATAAGTTCCACAAGTGAGCTCTTTATCGGGCTGATCTCTGTGTAATAGCCACAGCTGACGTCATGAGTCGCTTACTATCGGATTTCGCATAAATGTAACACTGAGTCACGGTAATTGTGTAATTCTCGGTAGTTCTCTAGTTCTTGTGGTTCTTATACTATCGGACTTCACATAATAACACTCTTAGTAACAACAATTGTGTACTTCTGATTCTTGTGGTTCTCGTGGTTTTCGTGGTTCTTGTAGTTCTCGTGGTTCTCGTGGATCTCGTGGTTCTCGTGGTTCTCGTGGTTCTCGTGGTCCTGGTGGTTCTCTTGGTTCTCTTTGTTCTCCTGGTTCTCTTGATTCTCGTGGTTCCACGTTATTTTTTTCATTTCCGGCTCAAGGGGAAGTAAAAAACCAGCAGGCACACATATACCTTCGCCAGCGGTATTTCCCATTAGTCAGAGACTGAGTGTGTGTCGAACGGGTCGATAAATTCGCAGTTTTATCCCAAGAAATGAAGTGTTTTACCAAAGTTGTGTATCTTTTGGTGGCTTTCAACATCTTGGGCTGCTCCTACGCCTAAAACATGCCAATTTCGGAAGCAAGTCACAGATTTGTACAGCTTGTTTTGAGCATTCATTCATCTGAATCGAATGCGAATTTAAGTTGGTTGCAACATGGTGTGATCATCAGGGGTGATCAAAGAAGGCCAACATCCAGTAATCCTGAAGATTATGTAGTACATGATATCATACTATGGGATCCCCTAAGTGGTTCTTCGAATATTGCCTTATGTTATAAGCAAGCACAAAATAACACAAGCCCGCAGGGAAATTTTTGAAAATTTTCAGAGTGCTTATTTTTTCCAGATTGCACAAGAAAATCACCTGGGCCCAGTTGTTCAAAGGCCGATTAGTGCTAGCCCAGGGTTAAAAATTTAATGCAGGTTTCTATATTTCTTTTTTCCAAAGCCTTTTAGAGAAAATTTTCCCTATTCTTTTTAGAACATCCAATATTCAAATTGCAAGCAAAAAGATTTGAACTGAATTTTCTTTTTAAGCTTTCAGAGCTGACATCAAATTACATGCTAACCCTGGGTTATCTTAACCCAGATTTGAACAACCTGGGCCAAATTATTTTTCAATGATAGGGTGAAACCTCCATTAATAGGGCACCCTCAGGACTATGAAGTGTGCATTAATATGCCTGTGTTCCTTGAATAGAGGGTGGATGGGGTTTTGTTTACAATTAACCACCCAAACAACAATACCAGTTTTATTCCCTTCAAAGCAGCCATCTATTAAAGCAACCAAAAATGCATGAAGTAAGCTTTCGATACCAACCTCGGACTTTTTTAAATTGTGATTTTACCTGCTACTAGTAGATAACTACTGCAATAACCTGTCAATAGGTGCAGAATTAATGTCCAATAAAAATACAAAGTGTGTTCATATTTATTTTGAGAGGTATGCAGAAACTGGAACAACTCAGTGTCTTTGGTGGCATTGTAACACTAGCAGCTTAGTAGTTGTCCCCTTAATGGGGGTTGAAACAGCACTAGCAGCACTCAAAGTGTCCCAATCTCCTTATAGAGGTGCCCCTGTAATAGTGGTGGTAAATACAAAGTTTATCTGAGCATTTTACCGGGACCAGGAAAAGCATATCCTTGTGGAGGTGTGCCACACCCAAAGTGGAGCTCCCATAGCACACATGATGCACAACAACATATTTAAATTAAAGTTCTGTCTATTTAAATTTTTTGGCACTCAATTAAAATTTCAGACCTGTTTGGGATTTTTGACATGGTAAAAGTCAATCGGCAGGCATAAATGTTTGTTGACATAATGTGGTATACATTATAGTTGTCTATTTTCTCCTTAACAAATTTAAGTATGATAATGCATAATGTATCAATATGTTGCAATTTTCATGCAACATAAATTTAAGTGTAATTGGAATGATTGTCCTGTAAATGGGCATGCAGGTATATTGCAACAGCTGTGAATCACTTTTCTGCGTGACTTCTGTATAAAATTCTAAAAATTGAATTAAAATTTCATATTTGCTTTTTCCCTTATGAAATTACTCTATTCAAACATGTACATAGTTTGAATCAAGGGTATTGTTTCATTGTTTGGTTGTATAATGCATAATACCTGTAGCCTTTTAACTGTAACTTAAATAAAAACATCTTTAATTAATTCAATTATGCTTGTTTCAATTTTAGCAAAGATTCAATTTAACAACCAGAACTGTATAAATGGGATTTCACATGGCCATACCTTCTAGAAGAATGTGTTGGTAGCAAGAAATAATCTGTAATGAATAACATGTTAAGTGTCAGGTATCTGCATTGTATTATTCAAACATATTTTAAAACTGTAACATTTTATAACAAACATTTTTTTTTTTTGGTATTCAACTTTTTTCTTTTAAATAAATGTCTCTTTACTTTCTTTCTCTAAAATGTCTCTATTTTTTTGGTATTTATAATTTCTCAGTTTCTATTCAAAGGTAGTTCGTAATTTCTTTCAATTAAATGTCTCAATTTACAGCTATTAATATTTTCTCTCAAGTGAATGTGTAGTTCCAGAAAATACCTAGATCCCCAGCGCGAAAGGCATCTTCTCTATAACCCCACAAACCCTCTGGAAATTCCAATTTAGCTTCATACATTGCTTTAAATTTTTGGGTCTCTGAGACCCTACCCTCTTGTCCTGGAATTCCCAATCCCTTCTGTGGGAGTAGTACGGATATTTTCTAGATCTACACAATGTCTTCCATAATTTCTCTTATGTAAATGTCTATTTAACAGCAATCTCAGTTTCCCTAAAATAAATATCTATTGAAAGGTACATGTATTCTCAATTTCTCTCAATTAAATCTCTATTAAAGTTGTTCATAATAATTTCATGTAACAGTATTGTTTCAACATTCTTTTCAGCTAAAGCAGTGATAGTAATGTTGCTCTCTCTCTCTAAATGCATTGGGTTGAGCTTGAAATGGATGACCCTCTGACACTGTGAAGATATTGCTTGCAGTAAGCTTGTCATCATCCTTGAGGAATGTTGTTCTGTAGTCTTGCGCGGAGATGTTGTATTTGGCCAGCTTCTGCTGAAGGTCATCACTGGGCAGCATTTTATAAAAAACATTTTTAGTTTGTTAATGACTTTAAATATGCCAAGACCAGCAGCTACCAGATCTTGCATGGACTTTTGGACCAGATTGACATTTGGACGGCAGTGCGAGGAAAAGCTTGTGTAGGCGCGGCGGGCAGTTGTGTATGGCCCTTTCACGGTTAAGATTCTACAGGTAACATCCTCATTTGCCACACCCACTTTTATGACCTTAGCAGAGCCATTAAATTTGCTGGCCAATGATAAAGGTAAATTTAAAAACACTATAAGTTAAAATTATTTTACTTTGAGTTGGAGTTTATATTTTCACGGTCTGGTAAATGGCAAATACCTTTTCTTTCTTAATTCATCTATGTAAATACACAAGGGAACTCAGGGAGGTTTAAAAATGAATTTCTTTTAAGTTCTGACACCATGGAAGACTGAGCACACATAAAAATTTCTACAACAAATAGAGTAATTCTGGTCAAGTCCATTTCTGCTAATGGCCAAGGGGCATGTATTTTGGCTTCCTCGTTCCATGACCAAGAGTTTGATACAATGTTAGCACAGGAGAAGTTTTCGTTCATATTCTTAAATTGTAAGTACAGTACTGAACTTGCTGTTTTTGATGTTGTTACAGTTGAAAAACCTGGTCCTTTCAAATGCCAAAATTAATACACCAAAAAATGAGTGTGTGGTTCTAGAGATGTTGCTTCCCCTCCTCCCCAGAAGAATTTTTTGGGTATGAAAACTACTGGAAAGAAAACAAAGCTTTATAACCGATAAGAGCAAGCAAAGAAAGTAGTCATTCAAGTACATGTGCAATATTTTATTACCCCTGTCTCCAAATTTATGGCCTTCCTCAGGCGATCATGTATGCTATGAGCAAGGCGGAGGACGTGTTTGTTTCGCTTAAAATTGCTGCAGTTGGCTTCCTTTTCCACGTTGGCCCCTTGTGTGCTTGGCAACTTATCTTGAGGCTTCGCGAATTTGAAAAAAACCTCACGGGCATTTGCACTCAGGGAGTACCTCACTGGTGGAATATTGTTATGTTCTACTTAAATTTGCTCAAGCACCACTGAGACTGGACAGGATAGTTACCCAGCTCTTCGTAATGCTGGGACATTACCTCCAGGTCTTTCTCCTCCTTTTTCTGGTACAAAAGGAGCAATCACTCAGCCAGGCCATTTTCGGCATACAAAATCTTCGCCAAACCGTTTCGAGGAACTGCTTTGAACGCAAGGAGCGAGACTTGTGCCGACGGGACCCCTGTACGTTTACCCTTGTTGCTCCTCAGCACTTATCAGCAATTGCCGTCGCAACACTTGCATAGCCGTTCCATGGTCAGATTCGCTTGAGGACCTTTCGATAAACTCGTAATCTTCGTTAGAAACGAGTGGGCCTCGTCGATGCAGATGATATTGCCCGTAGTGAAGTGATTGAACAGGCCATTACTCGACGCGTCATCGATAACGAAGGTTTTTGTTTATTTTGGGCTCGATATGTTCCACGATGGGAGCGATACATCCTAAATGGCACGCAGGCGTTTTCCCAGAACCTGAAGGGGAGACCACAACAACGAAAAGATTCCCCCCTTCTTTATAGGTAGAGAAGACCTGTGGTGAGCTCTTTCCAATCAGCGCGCTAGTTGAGGTCAATACACTCAACAGAACCACCTCCCGAGTTGTTCCATGGCTACGCGCGAGTACATTAAGCCAGTCTTTCACTGCTGCTGGCACAATCTCTTCGAATGGCAGGGATACATCCGCCAATTTAGCTTCCAAATCATAAGTAGTGCGAGACTCGCTACTCTTGCTCTCGCCATCCATGATTGTCGACGAAAGTGGTCAACAGGAGGTCAAGAAAGCGCGGGAAAATGATTAAAATGTTTACAGCCACTGACCATACTGTTAGGCTCGGATATCAAAAGGTTAAGAGCTTAGGGGGGGAGGGAAAGAACCAGAGACCCCCGAGAACCAAGTGAACCAACAGAACCACGAGAACCACGAGAACCACGAGAACCACGAGAACCACGAGAACCACGAGAACCACGAGAACCACGAGAACCACGAGAACCACGAGAACCAGAAGAACCACGAGAACCAAGAGAACCAGAAGAACCACGAGAACCAAGAAAACCAAGGGAACCACGAGAACCAGAGAACTACCGAGAACCACACAATTACCGTGACTCAGTGTTATATTTGTGCGAAGTCCGATAGTAAGCGACTCGTGACGTCACCTGTGGCTATTACGCCGGAGATCAGCCCTTTATCGCGCGTATCGCATTAACTAACGCTGGGCGAGACTTTGGAAATGAAAATTTAAGCAGTCATGAATTAAACAAAATCACCTGCGAATCAAAAGTAACGAGTTTTAAATTTCGATTCATTCCGAAGGCGAGAACGTTTCCACATCAGCAGAGAAACCATGTCCTTGTTGCGACTTCTCCGGCTGCGAAATAGTATCTATGCCGCCATAGTTACAAGTAACTCAAACATCTGCCGGACAGGGTGTAGATTCTGGGGCTTCATGAAACAAACTTAACCCTTTTACTCCCAGAAGTGATTAACATGTAACTTCTCCTTATAATAACAAAACATTATCCAGCGAAACAGGTCATGAGAGTATTCAAACTTATCAGGTCAAAGCGGTTATCTCCATCTGACACCAAATTCTTGTAAATTATTTACAAGAAAATGTGTAGCAGCTAGAGGGGAGAATTAACAATCAGATTCTGGGAGTTAAAGGGTTAAGTACTCCAATAAACGTAGCTTTGGATCTCAGTATTAAGCTCGATGAAAAGAAGAAATATAGAATAATCATTCTCAAAGAAATGTGCATATCAGGTTGAAACTCCGCTACAAAGTGAATCAATGTCGATTCGGCGAACAGTTGACGGTCGACCACGAGTTGACCTCCAATGATAAACTAAGATCAGCAATGACGTGAACAACAAAGAAGTCACACAACATCCTCTTTCAACTTAAGTTAAGTGACCATTTTACGGGATAAGAGGTAGGAAAGTGTTTTTCTCAGGAACGAATCTCACAAGTTTTATACTTAGAAATTACGAAACTGTTTGTACAAAAGTACAAGGTGTAACTCATAGCCATTTGTCTTACTGACCTGACGTACAGCCAAAATTTTTGAAAATGCATGTCTACTACTCAGAAGATGCTGTTTTCGAATGAATTTGGTGGTTAGATATTGCGTAAGACTTTCTGCCTCACGATCCTTTTTATGACGTGACGACAAAAAGTGCAAACTTTTTTCACCTGTACTTTCACTTTCAGAATGTTGATATATATTTTTGTAGCGTTATACGTTATCATTTGCCAGGAAGTCTGGAGAAAAGCAAAATATTCCTAATTTATTCTGTTTCAGGGGTAATCACTCCCTTTCCTCTCTAGCTCTTAAACTTTTGGTCATTTTACGGCTGACGGTTGTTTTCCAGTCCCGTAAAGGTTAACAGAAAAAAATTTTCTGGTTAACTCTATTTACGATTTAAGGTTAAGAATTTGTCAATTGCGCCTAACGGCCAATTTTTTGGTTGGTAGGTCACGATAACCTCAAGTCAAGTCAAAATGTATCACGCTGCCCACAGTCAGCATTGTACAATGGGAATGTCTTTGTTGGCAAACGTTTGAAACGCATTTTTAATACGGAAGAATGCTAGCTCAACCGAACTAAAGTGATCCCTTTAGAAAATTATCTGTTAAGCGAAGAAAGAAAATTGTAGTCTCAAGTCATCTTGCGTGGTCAATAGTTCAACCACGTTGTTGATCATGAGATGTCGCGACAAATTTTAATTAAAATTTTTGTTTTCAGAACCGGCCATCTGGAAACGCGTGCTTAATGTTATGATAGTCTCATCACCTGCCCAATATCGGTCAAAAATGAAAGGTGTACTACATTTATGTCCAATTTTTCTCTCGAAGTGGCAAAAAAGACGTCGTATTTTTAAACCTAGCGGTACAGCGAAGAAGTAAAAGGAAACTTCATTGTAGCTAAAACTTTCTTGTCAACGTCAGTAAACAATAGAGTCTTAGAAATTTGTGGTTTCTGCTATTGTTAGAAAATAAAAATGTGTTCGTTAAACTGTTATGAGATTTCGCTCAGCATGAGTTTACTACGTAATCACATGGCTGTAAAATATGAGTGCCCGTAAGATATCGATAAACATGTATAGACCTTTGGATTTCGGGCTGCGAAGCTTTACCACTGAGACTCCACCATGAAAAAGGCAAGTACCAAGTTAAAAATTTGGAGATTTCGAGACGATTTTGTCATTTTATGTGTACGTACCAAAACTTCATTCGACCCACGAGCGATGTTAATTCTTACATCACTGCTTTATGTGCCAAACGTCTCGTCACTCAAATGTTAGCGCGAGGTATCTGTTTCGCAGGCGACCGTACTAGTGTTTATACTCGATGCAATGAAATCATCACCAATGCCTTACGGCTTACTGACCTTAAACGGTTCATTTTCATGATAACTGTCGTCTTCAAACCGCTGTGAAGACGAATTCGAGTTTCTTATCTACGTTTTGTTTTAGCGGTTCAAAATAGATATGCTCGCTTCGATAAATGAATTCCGATAATTCAGATAAGAGGCATGAAATACAATTCGTTGTATAGCTTTGGTGGTTTATAACATACACCGTCCGCACCGGAAAAAAGAGAAGTCTTCGTGTTGTTTTAGTGTTAAGTAGTCGGAATGTTTTCAAAATAAACTTCGTAATTTTCAAAGTATTTAACTGAAACAAAATATGTAAATTTAACGCTGACCTGCTAAGCTAACAAAACAAAAGGGATCGGAAATACACTCGATTTGTAAATAAGCAAACGTTTCTTGTGAAACGGACGCCTGATGCGGAAGAATAACTCATCTAATTGCAGCCATAATCTATCATCATGCTCAGTCAACCCAAACATTTTTGGTCAGATCATAGTTTTTGTGATATCGTTCACAGAATTAATAGGTAACAGTCATGCAAAAGCCAAATCAGTTCTCAAAAGCTCACAAGGCTAAACATTTTTAATGCATAACTTGGCTTTTTTTGTTGTTGTTGTTTTTTTTTGGTAGGTAATAAATCACTGCTAACAGAAATATATTAAACGATTCCTACGATCAATACTTGCATTGGCCCAACCATTGGAAGTAACATCTTGCTAACATCTTATTCCTACGCTTGCTATTTAAAGCGCCTCCAATATTTTATCGCTTTATCAGTGGATGTTTTCATCGAGGACTATTGACAATGAAAAACAAGATGGTTTGAACTGAATGAGCAACCGAATTATTTACGAATAACAGTGAGAGTAAAGAAATGCGTTTCCCTTTTTCGTCATGTAACGAGCGTAATGCCAAAATAAGAGTGCCTGAAAGAAATCGAACCTCAAACCTTTGGATTACGCGTTGGGAAGGTCAATCTCAGACAAACAGAGACTCTAAGGTGAGGATGGCCAATATTAGGTTGTAAAATTTGAGATTTCGAAACGAGTAAGTTATGTTAAGTTAATATTGTTGTAAATTACATTTTCGATTTTTCTCCAATGTGAAATTTCAACATATTAACACTGACTAGCCTCGATATCTCGAAACGCGTAAGTTACAATTTTTGTTCTTTTACGAAATCTGCTTTTTCTCCTTTAGTAAAAGAATGAATCATCGAATTTCCGACAGCGCCTCTTTCCTTAAGATTTCTCGTACGCAGGCATCGATTTACTGTAAGTTTCTGTTGGTCCTCAGCGAGCCATTGGAAGAGTGTGTGTACAGTATTTGTTTCGCTTGCGGCCCTAAGAGTGTTCTGAGGTCAATATCACGAATTCAGTCGTCACTAATGTATTACTGCTTACCTGAGCCGAACGCCACTAGAGTAATAAAAATCACAAAGAGAAATAAAACGTTGTCACCCATAACTGTGCGGCGTAGAGTTGAAATCAAATTTTCCGTAGAAAGCGCTTTCTTGTATCTTGTCTTTTGTAACAAGCGCGTGCACGTTTGCGGTTTAACTGCATTGCGACACAAGACGACAGCATGGACAATGAAACCGGCCCAACATATTGTTGTGTCCATATTTGGTAAGTCTTCTATTCATACGTTCTGGTATGTCTGCGTTAAGCAAACTGAGAAGGTTTTATTTTTTTCGCTTAAGAACGGAGAAGTTAGATACTCAGGATTCAATAATTGTTCATAGACAATAAAAGTACAGTGAAAATACCGCTTGCTAAAACGGAAAATTTGAGAAGTGATTAACAACAAACATCTGCTGGAAAATCAGGTTTGCAGTTTGCACAGTCAGCATATGCATATGCTGACTGTGCACAATAACTGTTCACAGTGTTTTGCTGACTCAGCAAATTTGCTTCACAAATTAGGGAAAGCCCCACAAAAATTGTTTAACAACCGCGGAATGGCTATCAGCAAAATACGCGCTTCGCCTTTGTTTCCATCATTCCAGATTTTCCTGAAACAAATATTGGAAAGCGAAGACTGAGGAGTTAACACGAAAACGAAAACGGCCTATCTCGTTTGTTTAGCTTGATGTTAGCGTCCAAAGTAAGAAAAAGAAACTTTTAGCATTAGTATTCTCAATAGTTTCTTGATCTTAAATTAGATTTAAGTTTTGATTTTTTTTGCTTCTTTATTTTATACAGTATTTTTTAATTATTCATTGATAAGAATGTGCAATGTGGGGCTGAGAGCCAGTTTTTTTTCCCGTGATTTAAGCCAGGAAACGTTCTTAACATGTTCCCAAAGTTATGTGGTATAGTATTTAATAAATCAATATTCGGACGTGAGTTAATTATCCTGTTAATTA